TATAAAAGCTACACCATTCAAATACCCTTTGTCTACATTGTCTGACCACTGGTTAACCATGCACAATAGGGCTGTTTCACACATAATATGGGGATTGAAAGAAACAAATCATTACTTGAGAAAGCCCTACTCGGGTCGCCCCAATCACATGGTGCTTGACTATCTCCATAATATTGACTTAATGTTCGTTAAATGCTTTTAATTTCATTTTATTTAATGTCATTAATCAATCATTCTATTCAAATAAGAAATGTAATGGTTGATTAAATACACATTGATGAGATAGTTCAGGCAGCTGACAAGCTTATTCATAATCTTTATATTTGTCAACCATTCGTTTTGATAAGAATTCTACAAGTGAAAAAATACACATTGGCAGTTTAACTCAGAAAGCCGACAAGCTTACTTCTATCAGGTGAATAAAGTAAGATGATAAACCGTTTATGAATATCTGAATTCAAATATCAAATTGCAGAACATTACTTGTGTTTAGTGGCTACCGAATTATAGCACTAAGAGAATTACAAACATTGCCTCACCGTATCATGCGTATGCTAATCCAAAAATGCGAAATGCCATCGGTTGATATTCAATGTTCCAAAAGCATCTACTTAAAATAAATGCAAATGCAGCAAGTTCCCTTTGCTTGGTAGGGAATCAAGTTGTTGTTTGCATCATTCATCAGCGTTTGTTCACTGCCGACTCCTACATAGCCAATGTGATCACTCCAATGTACAGTGACTCTGACAATGATTAGCACAAAGTAGGAATTTATCACATTCGAAGGATTGTCTTCAACGTGTTTAACTAACTAGGAAACTTGCAGTGCAGTGTTCCAGGAATCACGGAAGCGGATGTTTGTTTTCAATATTTCATTTTTGTCGATTGCTACTCATTTGGGTGTGAGGTGATGGTTATTAGGGACTTTTAGATTTGCACAACAGAGAACGTGGACTGCCCTTTTAAGGCAATGTGACGTCCTTTTAATAATAATAATAATATTTAATTTTTATATACAAATACAAATATCTCTAAGCGCTTTACAAATATACTATTACCCCGGTCATTGGATTCAGTGCTTGCCCGCACAAAACGTGTGAACAATCTCCACTCCCTGGGAAGCATTCCAGCCAGGCACTGGCAGTGACGTCACATTGCCTTAAAAGGGCAGTCCACGTTCTCTGTTCTCGCTGAATGAAAGATTGCTTTGTGCAACAAAATGGCTTTGCAAAATTACCCATTTCTGGTCGTCATAAGCTCCATGAAAGTCCTTTCAATACTGATATACATTAATCTTGCAATAGAAACAGTTGAAAAATCTTGAAGCCTTTGGTATTTTTATCTAATGATGAATACGAAGTGGCACAGGAAGTTTACATGTGTGGCCTTTAAAGAGTAAAAAATGGGTCTTAAGTATCACTACAAGAGTGTTGGTTAGCAAGAGATGCACGAGAGGGATCCCGGACTTTTTGCTAAAGGGTCGAAATAACGAATATCGACATAAAATTGACATTACTTTATTATTTGTAAAGAATTATGTACCGCCTATTTCAGGTTGATAGTACTTTTTGCTAGAAAGTGTTTATTTTGGATCATGTGACACATTTTTAACCAATCAAAAACCAATAATATTTTGATGCAGGATGTAATAATCGTTATTACACCGGTCATTGGATTGAATTGCTAATCCGCACATTGAGTTTACAAAGGTAAATCACATCATGGCTAGGATAATTGTAATCGCAAGTTATATGGAATGCATATGAGCACGCGTGTGAGCTCAATTATGTCCACTTGCAGAACACCTCTCGTTGCGAGAGTCACACATTCTAGCTGAGATAAGCTTCCGATAGGATCATTATATTCGCTATTTCGGATGAAACAACGAAAATGTGTTTTTCTGCCTGATCGTAGATAGTTATTAGTACAGTTGTTCTCCGGGTCCGGATTTATTTTTTCTTTGGTAAGTTAATTTTTGTTGTCTTGCCTTCAACATAGTTTCAACGAGAATTAAAATTAAACCATAGTGCTGTTAGAAGAGAATTGTTGGAGTGTATTTGATTGTTAGTCAATTATTAAGTTTCTCTGATTAGTCTGGATGACCTTATAAATTGGAAATTACTTTTTTCGTCATTCTAAACTTAATTTCACGTTAAAATTTTTACGTAACATGGAGAAACCATAAACAATTCTTTAACAGAAACTTTTAAACTATGAATTCAAAATATATTATAGTAAAATGCATTTCACTTCGATTAATGTAAATCACATTTTTAAATTTAGAATTACTTTTTTCATGGTTCAAAACTTTATTTCACAATAAAAAACAACACTTTAATCAATGAGCAGACTGTTATACATTCTGAAATCTTAATACTGCAAAAGGCTGGAAGTCGTGACAGAATGGCGCCTGAAAGAAAAGAAATGTGTAGATCTGTATTTGTCATAACATTTAGTGATGGTATTTATAGTTATTATTGTATCGGCACTTTAGTAAATTGATTTCTCAAATATATCAAATATACATTTTCATTGGTATTTAGAGTTTAAATACAAAAGTCCGTTACAATTAAGATTCGCAAGTTATTCCAAATATTCATAATATAAAGAGGTGAATTATGGGAAGTATAAAGCTTTGGAATTTCGGAAAATGAAACAGGTTTCAGTGTTTCGATAGTGAAATACGAACCATAATTTTTAGGTTTCATAATTCAGCAAATAGAATAGAAAATACCTTCTTTTTGGAATCACGATTCATCAATTTCCAAATCATAAACCTTTTGTGTAAGGCCTGTAAATTGTTAAATGGTGATAATAGTGATGACTTCTTGTATCTAGCGCCTCTAATGGGCACTTACAACGATTGCACTTCAATGTCTCACAGCTCAACGTTCTTAATTGGGCTGCATTTTAATCAGAAGTTATTTTCTATTAAGCCCACCGCAAACTTTACGTTCTGACTACGATCCGATTTTGGGAGAATTTACAATGGCATTTAATGTGAACATCCGAACTTGTAAAAAACTTAATGATTAAGGATCTAAATAGTAGAATGATTAGTATAGCGCTGAAGCCTGGAACCCACACACCTTCTGGTGTTGCCGAAGATCTGGAAAGGGTACAGAAAACACTGGCTCATTACCAGATTACTCAGATACCGCCCAACAAATGACTTTTCGGTACCCTCTCTTCAAATTTTTTTTAATCACTCATGTGTGAAATATGAATCATATGAGTTGCATCAAATGAAAAAGGATCTAAGCTTTTCAAACATGTGTCATTTATTAATTATGATTGTGATTAAGTTATGATAAAACATCGATAATTCTCGGTTTCGTTTTTTCCGGGACGCACTGTATAGAAATGTTACAACTTTCTTGCGTGCACCTTCACCTGCTGTCACAACACATCCCATCCCAAAATAGCCTGGAAAAGCTGCTTCAGGGATTACCTTAAACCAAGTAAAGTTCAAAGGATATCGAGCTTCATTTTGGAAAGGAAAAGATATATCGGCTCAGAATCGAAGTCGGACGTGAGACAGGTAGTAGTGCGATCGTTTACAATTTTAAGCTGATTCTGAGTAGAAGGCTCAAATGCACTAAAATTCCGATTGTTGGAATTCATTTCATTATTTAGGAAATATACACGGACGATGATGTTTGTTTAGCTACACTTAATATCAAATACAATTGCCATTTCTTCGAAAATTGGATCGTTGGAGGATCGTATAGGGTGTGACGTGCTGTAATATTTTAGAGCAACGCACCAAAAGTGAGGAATTTACACCATAAGAGGGACTTGGTAACATTGTTCAGATAAGAGAAAATAGTGTCATTAAAGGTAGTGACCTCAATGATAGAAGTATAATTAAAGACAATCTGAACGTTTGAGTAAAAACAGATCATGATTAATGATAAGAATTGGGAAAAATGAACTGATCGATTCCTTAATTCTCCCAACTATATTATTACAATTTAATTACATTTTAGGTGAACGAAAATCATCACAAAGCAATGCATTGACTCCATATACCATTCCAGACATTTAAATATTAATAATGATAATAATAATATTTAGTATTAAAAGCCTGTCTTATGTCTTATTATCTTGGAAAAACGGTTGGGAGAATTTACTGTAAGAAGGTGTCGCACAGTGACGCCTTCAAAGAAAACCATAAATATATTTGGGGTTTGGGAATTTTTTTCAGGATTTTTGGCATGTTAGTACAGTAGAAGGAACATAATAAGTAATATTTCTTTGAAAACTTTGCATTTTTTTCATCAATCTTTAACCATGTAACCGAGTAAATTTACAAGGGAAGTCTACCCTGATATCAACTTGCTTTAATAAAAAGTAGAAAAAGAAAGAAACGAATTAGATAAATTTTAGCAATATCCGGTATATATATAACATTGAAAAGTTATTAATATTCTTAGTTGTCATCACTGAAATACAAAGTGGCAACACTTTGACGTATCTTTGCAGCATTGTAGGAATTTCTTTCTACTGAGTACCCATTTACCTCACCTGGGTGGAGTGTGGCAATTGCATGTACATTAATGTCTCGATATTAAGACGTCTAAGGTAAATGTATATATAACCATTTTCTTTAGAGAAAATATGAATTTCTGAAGTTTTTTGAATACGTGGGAAATGGGACGGGAGCTCGCAAGATACGTCGCATAGTTGCCAATTCGTGTTTGATTAATCACAACTTCAAATATTCATACCTTTCTTATTTTCAAACAGTTACGCTGCTAAAACCTTTACGCACCTGTTTCTCTCATTTTTTGGTTCTATTAAAATCAACGTTATATCTGGTTGGAAGTCCCCTTTAAATACTGAGCAATAATGCTCCTTATAAGGAAAGTTTTTGAGTTTGGAATGGTTAACCTTCGAATTCAAGAACTATCATAATATTGAACATTCGGAAATACGTCCGTCATTGCACTGTCTTTGTTATTACACTCCCAGGTTCTTTCATTACCAAAGACGGAACGATGGCACCTAAACGACAGGAACATACTGGTAAACCATGTTTTGTTTTGTTCATGCTGATTGCTATGCTCTACTTCGCTGCTCCTGAAAACATTGATATCTGCAGAGACTGCTCATGTTTTGGTGCATTACAACACGTATCCTGCAAAGGGGTGTTCCGGGTAGGGGCTCAGCTAAAACACACTTTTGAAGATGTAGCCTTCCGTGGCCTCGATCTTAATGTACCACATTCGAAATTATCACCTGATCTTTTCCAGAATCGGACAGGCATCATCTATCTCGATTTAAGGGAAAACGGTTTCAAGTTTATCGATGATTGGCTGTTTACGATCCTCCGCCAGGTGAAATACCTTACTCTATCCCACAATGCCCTCACAGCCATTCCCGTGTTTCACAATCTCACGTCACTACAACAACTCTACTTGAGGTTCAACAATATTCGCAGCATTGGTAGTAACCTGAAGGCCCATGCTCCAAAACTCAATGGGCTCATGCTGGATCACAACAAGATCACATTTATCCAAGGCGATCAGTTTCCAGAGAAACTACAAACCCTCGGCCTGAGCTTTAACAGAATTACGTCCATCGACAGGGGCTCACTCTCGGGTCTCCTGCAGTTAAAGAGAGTAGATCATACAAGTAACCTGATCTCGCAGATATCGAGCGGTTCTTTCTTGTTGCCTGGTTTAGAAACTGTGATCCTAAATGAGAACAGGATCCGTGAAATCTTCAGGGATGCCTTCAATCCAGAGCTTGACAACATATATCTCAACAACAACATACTTTCTGAACTTGGTAACATCAGCGGCATCCCTTCATTAAAAGGTTTGTTTGTCTCGTATCAGAGTGAGGTCATCAAACTGCAGGAAATCCCACTTCTCGAAAATCTCACAGAACTGACAATTACTGTGGAAAGTTCTCCCGATCTTGCCGATGGGATAGCTAGAACACTGACCAAGATGCCTAGGATGCAGATTCTTTCAGTTGTCGAAGGGAAAATGGATGAAGTTACTATGAAAAGCCATACACACCTTCGCGTTGTAAACTTCAACTCGTGCTCTATAAAGGATATCCACAATTTAACCCTACTACCTATGCTGTCCTCCATATCAGCAAACGATAACCTGATGACATCCATTTCCCGTATTTCTGGACTAAGTAACCTGGTAAATGTTGATTTAAACAAGAATCTAATTGTCAAAATATCAGCTTCCGATCTTGCAAATTTACCTAGTTTGGAAACAATTAGTTTGTCAAGCAATGAAATAGCATTTATATCAGGACGGTTCGATGCTCAAAATCTTCAATCGATCAACCTGTCGAAAAATAAAATTCATAGTATTTCAGCTCTAGCTTTTTTCAATCTGCGTAGAATACTTGATATCACTATAAGCTACAACCCAATGAAGAACAAGAATCCAATCGAATTTATCCGACCACTGACGAATCTCCAGTTAAGCTACGCAAAACTAACAAGAGTAGATAGCGACTCATTCAGAGGATTGCAGTCTTTGTGCTTTTTCGACCTGACTAGCAACCTGATATCCGAAATATTTGGTATTACTTATCTTCCCAGCTTGGAAACCCTGATTTTGGATGACAATCCACTCATTTTTATTTCGCCCAACATATTGCAGTCCCTTCCTCATCTCTTCACACTGTCTCTAAAAAAACACTTGCTGGCTTTTCCAATAGTGCACGGAGTGTTCCCTGAAATGCATTTAATTATCCTGAGTGGAAACCATCTTAAAAGAATCCCACGTCAGATATCTAATAATTTTCCAAATCTAAGGTCTCTTTATCTGTCGAACAACAGCATCGATAGGTTTGAACTCGACGCCTTTACCATTTTTAACAATCTTATCCATTTATCAATGGATAGAAACCGTATATCATACTATGAAACGAATACAACAAAGAATATTTCATTACAAAATCTTTCAATCGGATCAAGGCATACAGAGTTCATTTCTAATGGAATGCATGATGTCTTGACGAACAGTTTTCATTTTGCTGTGTACGGGTCGTCTTTACTGAATGTTTCTGCTAGAGTTCTTTGCGGACACCATGCTCAGTTTGTCCTAATCCATGGGGGGATGATTCAGGATGTGGCCGATACGTGTCCACCTTTATCACTAAACACGATAAACTCATTGGAGCTTAAACATGTAGTTATTATTCCATCTTCGTTCTATACTTCACTCACCCAGACCACGGTAGCAGTATACTTTATCAACATATCGATTGTAGAAGAATACAATGGTAACAGGAAAAGAGTGTACCACACACAGTTGAGATATCTTCAATATCAAAAGTCCGGTCTTGTTGAACTTCCTCAAGTCTTTGCTCCCTTGATGATCAGCTTGGATGTCTCTGGCAATCTGTTGGAAGAACTTAAACTGAAGGACTTAACCAAGCTATATCCTATGTTATATACCCTTGATCTCTCAAACAATCGCATCAGGGTTCTCTCCAGTTGCGATGTGAGCGGCGTATCACATCCTCTGAAGGTCCTGGGGGGTGTTTCACAAAGATCTTAAGCCAAAGTTAACTCTAAGTTGGACTTAAATATTATGGAAAGCCATTTGTAGCCTTACAAAAATATATATTCAATATAAAAAATTCAAGTATTTTAGACTTTTCATAAATTTCACATCAAGAACATAAAATCTCCTTGATAATAGAAAATATGAATGATTTGAATAGACATTTAATGACTTCCAAAATAACTTTTACAAAAATGTTTTCAAAGATGCTAACGGCTTTCCATACTTATAGAGAGAAGTTCAACTTAATTAGGATCTTTGTGAAACACCCCCCAGATCCTCAAAGGCAACAACCTTTGGTTGTTCTCTGCCTGGAGGTGTGGAAATGGTTACAAGATCCTGACAAATCTCTTAACACTGAACCTGGATGACAACAGGCTATCATATTTGGAACGTGAAATCATCCCTAGGTCCTCCTCCGATCAAGCGCCTTTCAGGACATTCGTAAGTGCGGGAGACAGCACACTAATCTGTGACTGCCACCAGCGTTGGTTAGTGAAAGTGGAGGACAGTATCAGCTTTGTTAATACCAAGTGCTCTGCACCAGAGGGACATGCTGGCAAACGTCTGTCGGACCTACTGAAAGATGGTTTCCCTTGTCCGTTGTCTGTGTCGGAAGAGCAAGCCTGTGCAATATCGAACACCTCGGAGATTTTAGTTCAGTGTCCCGCTGCATCTTATCCGAGACTCTGTCAGTGGACCATTCGATGGCGGATATAGAAATAGTAGCCGGATCACTGTGGCTAAAATTAGATTCCAGGCGTCTTTACGTTGATGAAGAAGAGATCACTATTTCTCTAACTTGTCGCGCCATCAGTGAAGGGGAAACGCTTGACATCACTGTCCTCGTCCATATCGAGCTCATCAACGGCGACGAGACAGGCGAATACTCTGACCTGTCGGTTCAGTGTTACCCGAGTGTGAAAGATGGCAGCGGCAAGATCTTTCAGTTGACCTCTGAAAATACTGATGATATTGGTCCGACGGAAAACCTGACCGGTTTGGCATTGGGAGATGCAAAGAGCTGCCATCAGTCAGCTGATGGCACTGTAATCGCAGTTATGGTCGGAATTACTTGTTTCGTACATTATTTGTTAAGATGACTGATCATAACCGTTCCTAAAGTAAGATGAAGTATTGTCACGTGATATAACGAGTAATGTAGAAAGCAGCAACAGTGTAAGTGTAAATGCATTGACCGAATTTTCAGCTTTCATCCCAGAACCAATTTACTTCTCTAATAAAAAATATTTGAAATTGAATTTTAATTTTTAAGTTATCAACAACCACACGTCACAATAATGACTGTATATGAACAATCTTACAATGCAAAAAATAATATTGATATGTAGATAAAACAGAAGAGTAATGTTGATTGAACAGTACTGGTTTTAAAACGATATTTATACATAGATTTGCATACTTTTGAATGTACAAAAGATATACGCGTAAGTATGTGAGTCACTTATCTGTATGAGAAGTTGTAAATAGTAACTAAAGGTTAGCACAAGTGCTAATCGAGCCCAGCTCCATTCTTTGGCAAGATTTATAATCTATATATAAATATACAGTGCGTCCCAAAAAGATCGAAACCAAGAATTATCAATGTTTTATCATAACTTAATCACAATTAAAATTAATAAATGACACATATCTGTAAAGCTTAGATCCTCCTCTTTCATTTGGTGCAACTCATATGATGCATATTTCACGCATGAGCGATGAGCGATTAAAACAATTTGAAGAGAGGAAACCAAAAAGTCATTTGGCGGGCGGTATCTGAATTTCAAAAAGAAAATCAGATTTCTAGAAAGTTCAATTTCTGCCCTTTCATATGACACCTCAAAAAAAAGTTCTGTTTGTTTAAAGTAATGCTTGCATTTCCATAATTTGATTGAACGAGTTCATTTTCACTGGCTGCCTGCCGTAGCAACAAACATAGTTGACAAAAGACTTAACTCTGTTTTGTTGACGAACAGCCATGCACAAAGAAGACGAAAGACTTGATGCATGGCTTATCGTCAACGAAACGGAGTTAAGTCTTTTTTCAACTCTGTTTGCTGCTTCCCGCACCGAAGTCAGAAAGACAAGTCTTTCTGTCGACTCTTTCGAAGCAAAATTTAAAAATCAAAAATTCAAATACAATGTATCATCAATTTCCTGCTAGCCACAATAATGCAACTGCAAACAACTATATCAAGGAGTTTAATTGCATAAAACATATAGGCCCGAATTCACAAAGCAAGGTTTGAGCTCAGACCAAAGTTTGAGGTCAAACCTCCTTTTGTTTCGCCAAACCTCCTTTTGTTCTTTACAAACCAGGTTTGTAAAAAACGCGTAAAACGCGTCATATGACGTACGAAAACCAAGGTTTGTCGACAAACCTCCTTTGTGAATTCGGGCCATACAGTTTCTAGAGAATCGGGAAGCGCCAACAAGATGAAGAGTATAAAAGAGAGATACACACATATAGGGAAACAAAATTAAAAAGGGAGAGATAGAAAGAGAGAGAGAGAGGGGGAAGGAGTGAAAGAGGGAGAGAAAGAGAAAAAGAAAGAAAGGGAGCAAGAGAGGGCGAAATAGGAAGAGACAGAGAGTTGAGAAAAAGATATATATATATATATATACATATATATATATATATACAATTAGAGCGAGAGAGTGAGAGAGAGAGAGAAAGCGAAAACACACACACACCTAGAGGGAGGGGATGTATAAGTATGTGTGATCTTATGTGTATTTAGGTGCGTGACAGAGGGATCTACGGATCAAGTAAGATTACAAGTAATATCCCTTCTCACTTCACTTTGAGCTTTAATTTGGCTTTGGAAATGCCCAACTGCGTAATCCATGATGCAAATAAGAAATATTGCAATGTTTTTCGTCCAAAAAAATCATTTAGATTACACATCTAAGAGGTAGTATAAAGTAGGGAAGGGATGCATAGGCTTGCGGCCGTATGTTTATTTAGGTGCGCGAGAGAGAAGGATACGGATCGGATAAAGCAAGATTATAAATATTCTCCCTTCTTACTATCTCACTGAGCGGCGAATGCTTGCGAACGTAGCGAATTTGGGGTTTCGCCAGAGTTTGTAAAATGTTGTAAAAGTTTGCAAGAAAGATCGCAAACAGTTTTCTTTGTTGTAAACAGTTTTTCTTGTCGCAAAGAAATTTTGAACATGTTCAAAATTTCTTTGCGAATTTATTTTTCCGCAAACAGTTACAGGCGTTTGCAAAACAGTCGTTAGCGTCTGCAAAACAGTCGTAAGCCTTTGCAAACGGTTGTTAAACGGTTTTGCTCTTTGTTTTCGTCAGTTCTCTGTGTTCCGCCAAAGCTAGCGACCACGTTACCATATGGTTCCTTTATAAAATCGACCCATTGAGTACCAGTAGTTAGCAAAAGGTCTCAAACGTTCACAAATAGTGGCAAAGGATTGGCAAATAGTTGTCGCTAACATTAAACATTTTTTTTACAGTCGCTAATAGTCGCCAACTGCCTTTCGCAAACACTTTCGGAGACATTCGCTCAAATGTTGCTAATTGTCGCTTAACGTCACTTAATGTCGCTGATTTTCGCCAACATTCGTCAGAAATGTTGGCGAATCCAAATTTGCAACGTTCGCAAGCATTCGCTGCTCAGTGAGATAGGCCCTTTAGAGCTTTAATTTATATTGCAAGACCTTTCGTCGAAAAAATCGTTTAGATTTCACATCTATGAGGTAACACATTTTGGATGAAAAAATGAATATATAGTAGAACAGTAAGTGGAATCGATAAGTTGATGGATTATATCATACTCAGTTGAGTCGCTTCAAACAAGTATTTCATATTTTCCAGCGATCCTTACGATATAAAAATTGATCATATTAATAAGATAGTTCTACAAAATGAGATACCCCATAATGTAGAGTCTAAGCCTCTAATCGGTCAAAACTACTGGCATGAAATGCGCTACTGACTGCTGGGCAGTAAAACGAAAAATATTGACCGGAAAGAGGCGATGGGGGGACGCAATTTTGCAGTGTGCATAATATGGGATCCCTCTTGACAGGCGTGTAGCCCCCTCCCCACCGCCCCCATCAAAAAAAGCACAGGAATAACAACAACAAAAAGAGATGGAAAAGTGGGGGAAAGAGAGAATTTTTGTCGGTAAAAGGAGAAAGAAAAACAAATTAAAGAGAATTAAACAACGATAGAAGAGAGGTGCGAGAGCATGAGGAATTGCGTTCCTTTTACAAGAATAATGATATAACAACCAGGGGCGTCGCTGAATGGGGGCGGGGTGTGGGGTGCGACACCCCCACCTGTCAGGATATTGACGGTAAAATTGATCTGCTGTCTGGAAAAAGGAGAAAAGGGGGAGGGAAAATGAGAGGGAAAGGGAAAGAAAAGAAAACAAGAAAAGGAAAAGAAATGTAAGAAAGGAAAGAGAAGAGAAGAGAAGAGAAGAAAGAGAAAAAAAGAAATAGAGGAAGGAGAGGAAAAAAAGGAAAAGAAAGAAAAGGGGAAAAGGAAAAAAAGAAGAGAAAAATGAAACAAAAGAAACGGGGGGTCAAAGAGAGGAGAGAAAAGAGGGGGTTTCGAGCCTGAGAGAAGAGGGATGGGAGTAAGAGAGAGAGGGGATGTTGGGTGGAGTCACAATTAGCAACATTTCAGCGAATGTTTGCGAAAGTGTTTGCGAAAGGCAGTTAGCGACTATTAGCGACTGGAAGCAAATGCTAGCTACAATTTCTGCGAAGATTAGCAACTATTTGCCAATCCTTTGCCACTATTTGGGAATGTTTGGGACCTTTTGCTAACTCCTGGTACTGAAAGGGTCGATTTGATATAGGAACCATTTGGTAACGTGGTCGCTAGCATTTGCGATTCATAGAGAACTTCAGCGACACCGTCTTACAACCATTTGTAAAGGCTTACGACTGTTTTGCAAACGCTTGCAACTGGAAAAATAAATTCGCAAAGAAATTTTGAACATATTCAAAAGTTCTTTGCGACAAGAAAAACTGTTTTTGACAATGGAAACTGTTTGGGAACTTTCTTGCAACCTTTAACGAACCTTTGCAAACTTTTTACGAACCCTGGCGAAACCCCAAATTCGCTACGTTTGCAAACATTCGCCGCTCAGTGAGATACCCCCTTAAAGATGAAATTGAGTTCTGGTCATGCGATTGCATTGTGAAAGAAACGGTGTGGAATCGACCAGAAAAGGTTGATCATCTAGCATATAAGAATTTGTGTGTATTGCAAGGTTCTGGAATCATCAAAATGATAAGAAATTTGGCCAAGTCTTGGTAAAATTACAAACAGAAAGATGTATATGGGACTAAACGAACACGTGGCGTAAAAATCCTACCCCCGAGTTTTACGATGTTACATGACATATTTAGAATATGAAGGCATTTGAAGAGCCATGCTTTTTAGGGAACATGGCTTATCTGATGTTCTTCCACACTTGCATAATAAGAATGAAAACGCTCACAACTTATTTTCACTCCTTCCCAGAACTCAACCTTCTCTTTAATAGAGCACAATAATATTTTTGGTTGTATGTCCTTGAATAACCACGTCTCGTAATTGATGAATAGCTACCGGCAAAGATGATAATAACGAAGGGAAAAATTCACTACCATGCTTCAGGGAACACTGCGAGGGCGACAAAGTAAGAATTCAATGAAGATATCACGGTATAGTCAGTAATTTATGGCTATTACAACAGGCGCTGGTATACATGCGTACATTACACAATTCTAGCGGTTTGTTCCTCACACAGGCCGATATAACCATTCACTCACAGTTAGTTATACACGTTGAAGAATGATTTCGAAAGAGAAACATTTCTTATTTTGTGCTCAACATTGTCAGAGGCATAGTACATTGGAGTAATCATATTGGCTGTAGAGTCGGCAGTGAACCAACGCTGATGAATGATGCAGACAACAAATTAAGTTGATTCCGTACCACGCAAAGGGAGCTTGCTGCATTTGCATTTATCTTTAATTCGATGTTTTGGGAACACTCAATATCAACCGATGGCATATCGCAATGCACGACACGCGGTTATAAAGCAGAACTGACATTTTTTTTCGGATAAGCATACACATGATACATAAGGTAAGTCAATGTTTGTAATTCTCTTAGTGCTAAAATTCCGTAGCGACAAACAAAAATTAGTGTTCTGCAATTTAATATTTGAATTCAGACATTCTTATCATCTTACCGTATTCATCTAATAGAAAGAAGCTTGGCGTTTTTTTAGTTATCCTGCCAACGTGTATTCTTTTCATTGTTAGAATTGTTATGAAAAAGAATGGATGACAAATGAAATTCAATGAGTGGAATTAAAAGAAAATAACGAAGATTTTGAGTCATTTTTTGCATGGAGATAGTCAAGCACTATGCATGTGGCGACCCAAGCATGTATAATTCTGTTAAGATCGAGGGACTTATGAATTTTAGACCACAGAGCTTTTTCAAGTAATTATTTATTTATAATTATAAACCCTATTGTTATGAGTCAAATATCCAGATCCGAATCCTTATCAAGTGCACTTGATCTATTTTTGTATAATCCGGGCAGAACGTCAACCTATCTATATAACTAAACATATGTGTGTATGAATGTGTTCGTATGTTTGTATGTTTTATAGTTTTCTGCAGCAAATGGCAAAATATAGTATAGCAATAGTATAGTAATATTAGTATAAGTAGTAGAAGTAGTAGTAGTAGTAGTAATAATAATAATGATAGTATTGGTAGCAGTTGTAGTAGTAGTAGGGGTACTACTAATAATATAGTAAGAGTAGTAGTAGTAGTAGTAGTAGTATTAGTAGTAGTAGTAGTAGTATATAGTAGTAGTAGTAGCAGCAGCAGTGGTAAAAATGGTATGATAGCAGTCATAATAATCAATGGTATTAACAGTGGTTACTCTTTTCATAAAGCATATCAGTTACAAGAACGTAGTCTAAGTGCGTTAAAATACTCACACAAAGATTTGACCTTATTAATCATATCGTTAGCCATTCAATCGTAGACAGACACACGGTGTAATTATCGATCTAGCTTGTATTTATTTCTCTCATAAGGCTTCCTCCTCATGTGTAGCTATATTCTATATTACATGACATTAGCTTTCAAACAGTGAATTGTGTTTGTCTATTAACCTGTTAAGTGATTATTAATATTAGAAAGGGAGAGAGAGAGAGAGAGAGTCAGACGGAAACGTGAACGAGAGGGATCGAGACAGAGCTAGACAGACAAGCAGATGTGGTTAAATATAGAGACTCGGGAATAGCCATTTTATCATAACGCATTATCTTTCAAACAGAGAGAGAAAGAGAGAGGGGGAGCGAGTCAGAGCGAAAGGGCGAGACAGGGAGGAAGAAAATGAGAGAAAGGCCGGTCGTATACAGAAATGCAGGGTTAGACAGAGAATGTGAAACAAAAACAATCCAAAAGAGGCAATAAATAAAAGGGGAAAACTACACAAAATCAAGAAGTTGAGAGCCAAAAAGGTGAATAAGGTATGTGGGAAATACATGAGATAATGCCATTCTCGCCCTAGACGCACTGCTTTTATAATTTCCCTTTTAACAATTTTCGCGCCATATTGCTATTGACGAAGGTCGACCCTAGTGATTTATTATATGTGTCATACGATCCTTTTCTATAATAATCAAGCAAAGAAGAACTCCATGCTTTTTCTTTTTTACCGAATCGAAGGCTCTACTCCTTAATGTTGTGGACAAAGAATTTGAGTGGGCAATAAGCAATAAGCAATAAGTAAGGTATGTGCCTGTAGATGTTGTGTTTTCTCAAGATTTATATGACTAATTTATCAAATATACATGGAATAATAATAGTTTGACAGAAGCGACAACATCCTCTGACTGGGACATGAATATTAAGGGCTAACGATTGTTATGTTCCTTTAAAAAATTCCCCAATATTTTATTTTAAACTTGAGATGGTCGTCAAGGTTATCCTTAAACATTATTTCTTGGGAAATGTTTAATGTTCACAATAGCTATTTTTTGATAATCCAGGATCAGGGCCTGGATAGAAGTTCAAATATAGAATGGTTGTGAACTATTGATATTATGAACATTTATCGAGGAACATAATTCTTTTCCCTCATGAATACAAAGTCTTCTTTTGCATTCGGCGAAATCTAAAGCTGAAGCAATCAGAATTTTGATCGGTCGTAATTATCAATGCTACGAAAGAGCAATTCAGAAATCATTTACATTAAATTGAAACCAGAGAAGTTCCGAACAAGGCCATATCCGGAAGTATAAAATCTCACAACCAATAATGAATAGCGGCACATTGTATTCTTAAGTATACTACATTATTTACTGGCACTATACCGTGTGAGTCAAAAAAAAGTTTACACCTAGAAAGTTGCTAATTGTTTTTAAAATCATCTATGAACAGTAAATTATTATACATCATATGAAAGAGTGTTTTATCCCAAATCATTTGGTATCATTTTTGTGTGGTATGTGTTCACGCTTGGATGAACAGGAGGCATTGTTTGCGAGAGTGCAAAAATCGACTTGCGCCAAAGTGATGCCTACAGTATGTATTATGTTAGGATTAGTGGAGTGAGAGAATGAATTGAATGTATCAAATGCAATGCATTGCACATGCTTTTTGAAGAAGCAAAGTCATACACAACACATACAAGCACGCTCAAATGTGATATCTGCTATTCGATATTTGATATGTGTGGCATGATTAATTTTGTTAGGGATGATATTTGGATCTGCAAACACCGATTTAATACCTGAATCCCAATTGTTTTATTCAAACATCACATAATCAACAAAATGATACTAAACGATTCGGGATATAACACTTTTTCATAAGATGCATAATATTTTACTATTCATAGATGATTTATAAAATAATTAGTAATTTTCTAGGTGTAAACTTTTTTTTCAAGTTTCAAGTTTCAAGTTTCAAGTTTATTTATCTTTCTTTCATAACACACATTATAAATATGACATGAATATAAAGGAGTGAACAGAATATGGCGTCACAATATAAAGATGAGGTGACCTTGGTTGAAAGCAAGGCTTGTGGATTTAAGGTCCCTCATGAGTAGTTTAAGAGTATGTCCTAAAAGAACAAAACTCATCAAACAAAAAAATAATGCGTACATTTAAATGCTTACAAAACTAAACTAACTAAACAACTTAGAAAATATTAAACATAAATTAGTACAATAAAATCTACTGACTACTAAATAATGGCTATAAACAACAGGAACAGGAATATACTACGAGCAACAGGACTGAAACACAGACAAAAACTAAACAAGACAGACAGAAGATTTGATGTGAGAAACGGGAGTAGACTTATGTTGAATTATGCTGACTCACACTAGTATATATATATATATATATATATATATATATATATGTATACAGTCAAACCTGTCTTTGGCGACCGCCCAAGGGAAACACACAGAAACACGTTCCCTTTCCTTGACCTTTTATCGTGCAATATTTTGTTTTCATTCAGAACAGTGAAGTAATTGTATGCAATGATAATGCTTTTAACAACAGTCATGTATATGCTTTACAAGTACAATTTTATAAATGTAATCTAATTTCTGTATCTCTTACATTCCGTTGTGCATATTCTCTTATTGTTGCAATTTGTATATATATTATATTTTACAGTGCTGCACTGTAAACCATAAGTACAATTCAGTGTGTGACTACCAGTCATGTTTGATTGAATCCATCGGAATTGAATTGAATATAGTTCAAAGAATTAAAAGGGGACAAAATATACTGGTGGGCACAAAAATGCATACACGTATTGTTGAATCCGGTAAATGGCTGGGAACAACATTGGCCCCTTTTCCCATTGTAACTGAATATTAGAAGGGTACACAATAGCATATTCCATTTCCTGCACTTCAGGAAATCAATTTGTCCTAGTTGCATTATTTGTATGAAATATCAAATACATTTTGTTTTCGCTGTGTTTATTTCTCATTATGTATATTGTCTTAGTTAAGTTTTTCGTACACTCTCGTGTTTTTATAATTAGTTTTTATAATTAGTCATTTACTAATTATTTATCTGCTCTCTGTAATATTTGTACATTAAATTGATTTCTAAGGCACATCCGTGTTAAACTATGCTACATAAAAACAACCAGTGGGAGGGGAGGAGAAGGGTGTCATATTCATGGTCAAAAGATAATTATATGCTTTAAAAACAAAAACATATCGAATTGTGTGTGCACACGTGCGTCTGTCTGGTAGGGCAGTTACTTGTGCAAATGTGTGGGTAGGTGTATTGTATGTGTATTGTATATCTTGATTCAAGGATGCTATTTTTACCGTGGTGGACGAATCGGCGAAATATTCTAAACTAACACCAGAACCGACTCAGTCTACTAATTTCTCTTTTCCTTTTTTATTCAATCGGCAATTTGCATAATCGATTTCAATAAAACCGCGACCAAATTCCCAATGCCATATGGTCATGAATTTGTAATCAGTGTGTATGTGTAATCACTTACGAAGAGACGAAATTGTATTGATCATTTGTATTCGCATTGCAGAGAAATTTATTTAATCATAATCCATATATACGTCAAGTACAATCCGTGCCTATCTAGTGTTTAATGCATGGTGTAAAGCAAGTGTGAATTTGTTCATCGTTACATTTGATTATTCTATTATGAGAGGTGATTCAATATTTCATTAATCAATATGATAATTAAAATTTCACCTATTCTTTTCGACTTCCTAAATTACAGTGCTTCACAAAGAATTTTTTTTTTTAAATCGTTATAGGGCAAATCGTTGTACTAACTAAATGGAAACATGATAAAATGTGGTCAATAATTCCCTGTGGATTGGTGTAAATAGAGAACCAATATAGTACGGTGGCTTACTTCTAAGTCAGCCGCATTACAGAAAAAAATACATTAAACAGAAGACATAATCGGAGCAAAACAAGTTGTGAACCATGAAGAATAAATAATCAACGATTTTTAGGGCAGGAAGGGAAAGTGAGGGCTACACATACCCTATTTTATGTAGAAAAGATTCGGATTCAAAAGCCACTAGTTGCCATCTTATAATCACATGAATACAACATTTACATTCACATACATGTAGAAAGGAGGCAAAATTCCATGAAAGGATGAGACTTTTGATGGGGTCATCATCACAATACAATATATTTTGAAACCATTTCATCCTCAACCTTCTGATATTAATAGGCCGGTACATAAGATGAATTATAGCAACAATCAGAAAATGAATTTCTGACTAGTCAAACTGTACCTCTCACATGTTTCCGTTATAATTATTGCTATCAGATTTACTTATATATCATTTCCCGTTATAAACGCAATACACAAGCAGTTAACTAATCACGGGACTAATCGACACAAGATATATTGTATGAATTACCGTATGTCATTTTCCAAACATTTAATCTAATTTTAATTAATGCATGAATGCATACTTGTTCAATCATTTGTATTGTTTACAAGCATGGACAGACACCGATCACTCTTAAAGCGTGGAGTCGACACATTATTTGACTCCCAAATTTTCTGACGAGCAACAAAAAACTAAGGGCAAAAAGGGGGTAGCAAGTGGGGTGATAGGCCATACATTTTTGGTTTACAATGATATTCATCAGGCATCATGTATGGTAAGAAAATCGATTTTCCGTCAATGCAAAATGAAAGTAATAGTAATCATTGCTGGTGCTGATGATGATGATGATGTATAATAATAGCATCAATAATAAACACGATGATAATAATATTACGATGATGATAATAATTACAATAACGATATGAATAACAATGATGAAAAATATAATCTTAAAAGGCTTCCATGGTGATGATAGATTTGAGCATGGTTTGTGGTTACACCACGTATTCTGTCTGCAACAGGGTTACTTAGTTAGCCTTGAAAAGGGCCCATTTGTGCTCGAGTGGTCTAGAACATTGGAAAGAAAAGTAATGTTACAGCAAAGCTCACACACAAAAAGATAATAAAATAGTTTTAGTACCAATAATAATAGCAATTTTAGTAATAAAAACAACAATAATAATAATTCTATACTAATAGGCCCCACAATTCTGCCTGAAAGAGGCATCCTTGGCACGACATGAATTATACATAAATAATCACGAACATGTCATCCAAGTTACAAATTAATAAATCTCCAATTTAGGAAAGTAACGACAATTGAATTACCCTGACAACAGATATAACATTAACAAAAAGTTTTAGAAAATAATGAGAATCAAGTCATTATTCATGACATTAATAGTAAGTTTTCTTCATTACCAAGTTTTTGTTTGCTAAGTTTCTTGCTGATAAACTAGATTTCAAAATTGAAAATTCATGTTTTGAATATGAGGTTTAAGATGAAGCGTGGTATATATTGATCTGGGAAAATAAGCAGGAAATTTAGACTGGTTAGACATGATTATGCCAAGAACAAGATATTTATAGTTCCTACTCGAGTGGCGGTTTTAATGGGACACATCCGTCCCGCGCCGCCTTTTAAATAAAAGTTGGCGCACTTTAAATACACACACACGCTCACGCACACACACACACACACACACACACACACAATAAATGCATAAAGGTATTTTCTTGTGAATTTTGCGGATCGTCCTCTCCTGTCCCTTCTTTTGCAAATTCGAGATCTTCCCTGCCTCATTATGTACACTGTTGGTCATAATGGTGGAATATTTATTTTTACCCCACTTTAGGGAAGGATTTTAAAAAATTATTTATTTCTAATAGATCTAGATAATGGCATACATTTTCAGATTTTATTGAATATTTATTCGAGAGTGTTTGTTTTGCGTGACTGCTTAGTCATATGTGTGCTACTATGCTTATCAGCTATGGGACCTACGTCCTTAAGTCATAATTGACAGTAATGAGGATTAATGTCTCACAAAAGGGCACTAATATATAGCTGATCGACACGATTTTTATCCTGGGGCATCACCGTAACAAGGCCATTGCTTAGCCCCTGAATCATGACTGTACGCAGTGTTTGCTAGGGTACGCGGCCCCGTCCACAAATCCCCCAAAAAGACGAAAATGCAATAAATTGTCAAAAATTCATTGCATTTTCCCCCGGCCCCCAACAGAAAAAATTCCTCTGTAGGGCCATGCATTATGGTTCAAGGCATGGCCACATAGAGGAATTTTTCCTGTTGGGGGTCGGGGGAAAATGCAATAAATTTTTGACAATTGATGTTATGCCATCACCACATACTTCCTCTTCTTTAAAGTAATTTTCCAACTTTAAGATAATTCTTTAATTTGTTGCATACTGTAAACTCCAAATGGGTTTTCAAAACGCTTTAAAAACCTGACGAAATAATGTCATGTACATGTTTAAACAAAACGTAGATTATTAAATAAGGAAGTAACCACATGTTTTAATTATCTTAGAGTCACAATCATGTAGCGCAATTTAATTTCAGTCGTAGTTTCCTGTCTAACAAGATAAGAAAACATTAACAAATTATGTGATGAGAAATATTTGTTAAGTCTGTTCTTATACGGTATAGCAGACAGTTGGAAATCTCTGACGTAGTTACAAAGTTCGATTTCACATGTAGCATGCATAGGAGACTTCGCTAGGAGGATTGTGTAGGGAAAGTTGAAGAAGAAAAAAAAAATTAAAATTCACTATTTTAAATTTTTATCAGAAAATCTATGATTCCTGAAAAAAATTGTAGATTTTTAATACATTTCTTCAGAAAAGATGTTTATATTTTGTAAAATGCGTAGGCCTATATAACTTAATTTATACAGACTAACATATACATATTGTCAAGAGTATGGTAATAAAAGGATGAATACATCAATCAAATTAAGTATAAGCTTGTGTCGCATACGCCTGTATAAAATATTAAAAACAAACTAAAACTAAAATGGAACAAAAATGGAGAGAAAATTGTGTGACTTTTACATTTTGCTTTAATACACTCTTCTTTTCGGCATATCCGAAGTTAAAAAGATACCTATATATATTATTGGGTGAAGAACAAACAAACTTGTTTGCTATGACGTTGATTATTTTCTTTTCACTTATTACCAGGGTCACTTAAAGTGAAAATCATTTTACTTTTTCACAAAATACCGCTTTATTTGGTTGGGTCTACACATAAATTTACGTGATTTATGCCGTTAATTAGACAACCCGGAAATATTTCATATTTATCACATTTATGATAAGCCACAGGCTACAACCAGAGGCGGCGATCCCAGGCGACGTAGGGACGCGTCCCCCCCCCCCCCTCGATTTTTTTTTTAAGGGGGATCCCACCCCCCCCCCCGGAAAATTTGAAAAAGTGCAAAAAATAAATGTATATCAAATACGGACTAAAGCCTGCAACACACTTTTAGGCACTGGAGGGCCCAAGAGTGCAGCGTTTAGACTAATAAAAATGTGAAAATCTTCTCGCTCGGCCGCTACGCTCCCTCACATAATATCCTTCAAAATGTATAAGCAAATACTGTAGAAAATCTGTATTCCGTTGGTATCTCGTCAGCACAGTTTACACTATATGTCGTCCCTCGCATTTCGTCGCCCCCCCCCCCCCCCTCGGTCCTGCAAAGAAATCGCCGCCCCTGGCTACAACCATGCTGCTAACACTGAAAAAAATAACAGAAAGCGAAACTAAAAAAAACAGACTCAACACTCAAGGACACCGTCATTAATTACTTGTTCTATTCTCTTTCGACGACCTTATTAAAGTTAAGTACATTTCCAAGTCCAAACAAAACTCTTGTATTCAAGTATGTCACTGTGAGTTAGTTACAAATGCATTCACAGTTGTCAGAAGATATTCAATTTAGCATGCAATGTGACGCTCTGTGTAAGCTTAAGACGATACTTTGGAATTACAATGACTACTTTTAATATTTGAAGAAGTCACATTTGATAGTGAAAAGAGGAACCCCAACAAAGTCAATGTGCGCCATTTTATTATTTTGTATCATGGTAGCAGTGTACTGTTATAATCGAAAGAATTTTTCCAGATTAAAAAAAAAGGGTTTGGTGTTTATATATTCGGGCGCATATTAAACCGTTCCGGCTTCTTGCGGCAAACACTGGGGGGGGGGGGACTTTTTATCTTGTTCATACGTATCGCATTAAATTCCAATGCACATTTTTGCATAGCGATTGTTGTTTTTTTGTTTTATATTCTGTATTCATTGGTACTATTTCACCTAATCATTTATTTTATTATTTATCTATTTATTTGTCTTTGGGGGGGGGTGTAAGCATGATTATCGTCCAGTTATTTCCATTATTATCAATCTGGCCTGGAAAAAAACAGATTATTTACCTCGATGAGAAGGATGTCAAAACGAAGTGAAACTCTTTTTGAACTTTTCTACCTCATTTACTATTCTCCCTGGACCCGTTCCCGCTCTTCATCTTCCTGAACCCGTTCACTCTTCATTTTGAAAACTAAGCTCTCGCTTTATTTTGGTTATCAATATCTTGCAGGACTCTCTCCTTCTTTGCTGATACAATAGCTACAATAGAGGATTATGAATATAGGGTTACCTATAAAGATGATCAGCAAATATAAGAAGCTATTCGTCTTCCTTCTTGTAATCGTCGCTTTGTACTACTCGATGATGAGCTATGACTATGATGACATGACACATGTTCCCATCGAAGAAACACGCTCAGTATCAAACGGTAAGTATATGATTTTTATTGATTTGATCTGATTCGAATCGATCTAGTTTAATCTCTTTATCGTCATCGTCGTTATATAATGTGCGTTGATGAGCTATGAACATGATGACGTATGGCTGTTCCTATCAAAGAAACGCGCAACAAAAATTGGGTCAGAGGTGCCCCTTGGGAGCATTCATATATGATTGGTAACAGTTGGACGAGACACAATCCGGCTATCGAATATGTCCTAATATTCAAATTATGCAAGGTAACCCGTTTACTTTCTAGACTTTCAGTTCAGTTTTCAGTTTCAAGTTTTATTTCTGCATTTTCCATAAACAATAACAAAAATAGCAATGAATATATTTCAGCAATATAATGATAAGTAACACAAGTAGTACTTCACAAATAAATAAATATAAATAATCAATAGTACAATTAATCGTATTTGAAAAGAAAGAAAAGGGGGAGAATGCAGAAGACCGATATCGTAAGCAGAGCTTGAAATGATACCGGCCTTACAAAAGGAGGAGAGGAGACAGGAAGAAAGAGCGGGTGAAGAGAGTGCTGTGCAAAGTGAAGAGTGCACTGCGCGAGCTCCTCAATCTATCAAATAATTTCCTTTTTATATACAAATAAACAATGAATATTTATATTAAAACAAAGTACATGTAGTATATTATGACCAGAATCTAATTTTTCATACCTTATCAATACATATTCTTTCATCTTCACTTTAAAGGAAACAAGTGTTGTACATAATTTTAATGTTATAAGCAAGGAGTTCCACACATCGGGTCCATTGTGTCTTATTGATTTTTGTGCCAAAACAATTTTAGGGTTAGTTAAATGAAAATCCATAGAGTGCCTCGTGGGGTACGAATGTACATTAACATTATGAATATAAAAATCATGAAAGGACTTAGGAAGTAAGTTGGAGACATATTTATACATAAAAATAGCTGTTTGAAAAATGTGCATATCAGTTACTTTAAGAGTTTTCAATGTTTTAAAAATAGGTGTAGTGTGTGCTAAATAATTAGATTGTGTACAAATTCGTAAGGCTTTCTTTTGTAAAAGTTCAAGTGAATTAATTTTAGTTTTACAACAGTTTCCCCATACGATATTACAATAATTAATATGCGAAAGTACAAAAGCATTATAAATCATAAAAAGAGATTTGGGAGTTAGTAATAATTTCAATTTATATAATATTCCAATGTTCCTAGAAACAGTGTTCAATATATTATGTGTATGATCGGACCAAGTTAAATTAGAATCAATGATTATCCCCAAAAAATTGACAGAATTTTTTTCTAAAAGCAAAATATCATTAATATATAATCTACAATTTATTTTTGGTGAATGAACATTTCTAAAGTATATAGAGTTTGTTTTAGTAAAATTTAAAGATAACTTATTAGACTTAAACCAAACATATATTTTAGATAATTCAACATTTAAGATTGACGTAAGTGTGTCTAAATTTGTATGAGAATAAAATACATTAGTGTCGTCTGCATACAATATAAATGTGAAAAGTTTAGATGATTCTACAATATCATTAACGTATATCAAAAATAATAAAGGACCTAGAATCGATCCCTGAGGGACGCCACAGGTTATAGGTAATCTACTCGACTCTTTAGATTGAAAGTATACATACTGTTCTCTATTTAACAAATAATTTTTAAACCATGATAAAGCAATACCCCTTACTCCATAAAAGTGTAATTTATCAATCAATATTTTATGATCAATAGTATCAAAGGCCTTACTCAGGTCCATAAAAATGCCTACACTGTGTTCCTTATTAGCCAATGATGTAATAATTTTATCATAAAGTTAAATAATTGCATGATCTGTCGAATGATGCTTTCTAAAACTAAACTGATTAGGAACAAGTAAAGCATTACTATTTAAAAAATCATAAAGTCGTTCATAAATAATTTTTTCAAGAATTTTTGAGATAGCCGGTAAAAGGAAAATAGGACGATAATTATTTACTAATGAAGAATCATCTTTTTTATATATTGGGAATATTTTAGAAATTTTCAATATATTTGGACAAACACCAAATGTGATCGATAAATTAAAAATATATGTTATTGGATTATATTATAAATATTTTTTTTCAAAAGATTCACACTTATCCCATCATAACCAGTAGATTTAGTGGATTTTAAAGACTGTACAACTTTAATAGTTTCGTGAGAGGATGTTGGTCGTAAAAATAAAGATTTATAAAATGGTTCATCCAAATATTGTTCATAGCTATTTTGATCAATGTTAAATTCTGATGCTAAATTTTGACCTATATCATTAAAATATGAATTAAACATATTGCAATTTTTACTGGATTATTTATTTCCTGACCATCTTTAAAAAATGATTTAGGAGTATTATTTTTAGAACCAATCATATCTTTAACAATTTGCCATATTTGAAGCATTACTTGTCTTATTCATGTCTATTTTATTTGAATAATGTAATTTACGTGAAAGTCGAATTATTGAAGTTAATTTATTTCTATAAATTTTATACTTCCTACAATTCTCATCACTCACCTTTTTAAGACTTTTCTTATAAAGTTTATTTCTAGTTTTTATCGACTTTAAAATTCCTTTAGTGATCCATGGATTTTTAACTTTCTTATATTTTGTTCGAACAAGTGGAATATTTTTATCATAATACTTTTGTAGCTTATGATTAAATTTTTCGTAAGCCTTATCAACATCATTTTCCTCAAATACATCGAGCCATTGCTCTTGACATAAATCAATATTTAAAGAATCAATATTAGAAGAATTTTCTTTTCTATGCATTTTTAGTGTATTGTTCAATAATCTATGAACATTAATTGTCTGCTTAATAATACTAAAAATAGGCAAGTGGTCAGATATATCATAATACAAAATACCATTTAAACATTTCTTATTAACATTATTTGAGAATATATTATTAATTAAGGTTGATGATGTTTTCGAAATCCGTGTGGGTTTATCAATATGAGGATGCAACGAGTAAGATAATAGAATGTTATTTAATTTCAAACTGTTATTTTGAAGAGGAGGTAAAATGTTTATGTTATAATCTCCCATTAAATAAACATCTTTATTTTCACCAATAATTGTATGAAGAGATTCATCTAAATTATCTAAAAATGTCTCTATCTGATTATTAGGAGGTCTATAAGCTACACCTATTAAAATATTTTTACCAAAATCATTTATAATTTCAACAAAAATGTCCTCTGCACCTTCAATATGAATATCATGTCGTATTCGAATATTTAACTGATTACGTAAATAAATAGCTAGACCGCCACCTCTACCTTCTTTGCGGTCAGCACGGATCATAGTATAATTATCAAGATTAAATACAGGAGGGGAGTTTGCGTTAAGCCACGTTTCAGTGACACCTATTACAGAAAAATTAAACTCAAGAATTACAGAAAAAAGTGTGTTTAAATCATCATAACTTCTATTCAAACTACGAGCATTAAAGTGAATTAAACTGAAATTATCAATATCATTATTACTACCTTTATTCAATTCATGATTAAATTGGTTTAGTGTAATCTTAATTTTCGCAATAAATTCATCAATAGTAAAATAGTCACTATCGTGTTCAATTAGAGACTAGTCATATAACAAATCATGATAATTCATTTAAATGTGAACCTAATATAATGTTTGAAAGAGAGAGGCTTTTGCGCGGAGTGCAAGTTAGTGGAGTGCAATAGAAAGAAGAATAGTGAAGGGGAAGAGAAAAAGGAAAGAATAAATTCTTCAACATATTTAGCGCCAAAATAAACAAAACAAATCTTGCAAGTCTCTTGCATTTTATCCAAAAGTAAACAATTAAGGACAAAATATTATATTAACTGAACAATACGAGCATATGGCTTATAGTTTTACATCATAAAGTGATTTACATGGGTGAGCGATCGAGTCAATGAGCGGGTTTGAACCTCACTACAATTATTTAAAAACAAAATGCGTGTTACTAAGAAGATATATATTTTTTAAACAAAACAAACATCTTTTTTTTCAAGTCTATATAAACAATAAATTCACGTGATTTACGCGATTTACATAATCGTAATATTGTTTTTTTGCAATAACCAAGTATATATATATATTTATACATATATATATATATATATATATATATATATATATATTATAATAATACTATGATAGTAATTTACATTTAAACTTATTGTAACTTTTTCAAAAGCATTGTCAAAATTAAATGTAAAGAGTAGCATCGAAAATATTGAAATAACAGCAACAATAAAAGAAAAAAAGTAGAAAAACAAACAAAAAAACAAACAAAAACTCTAAACGCGTCGGGTTGCACACATGAAGATCATCAGAATCGTTCCTACCAGGTCTCCAAAAGAGGTAATGGAGCAATGGCCTTGGAATATATTGGACTTGAACGGTTATATCATGTGTGCAACCCAACGTGTGCCTTGCATGCATGCATGCATACATAATGTGTACAGTGTAGGTATAAAACACAAACAAAATCAGTGAACCGTGTTGACAATAACAAGCATTCATGCACCCACCCACACAAATTATGTTATCATAGTTCGTATAAGTAAGTACATGAACGCCAGTAACTGAGCTCAATACAAATTACAACAAGATGAATAATATAAATGTGTACAGTTGTTCAAACACAAGTCATATAATTTGAATTTGAATACATCATGGAGTGATATTACACATAACTGAATATCACAAGAGTTTTATGAAAGCAGAGTAAAAGGCATATAATCAAGGTAGCGTAAAAATAAAGAGGTAGAATGTATGCGCACGGTTTTGCAAGCACGAAGACGAACCCCATTGTGTCTACCCATGCAGTCTCTAACATTGAGGGTTCATCAATACCAACAGCTGTCGCAGTGTAATATAATGCAATTCTACAGTTTAATCGTCTTCATGCTTGCAGTCCGTACGTCCGTGTCTGGGACAATAAAAAAAACAACGATAACTTTACAGACATGGACAAGAAGAAATGACCAGTGAGCCGTGTTTACAACAATAAAGCTAGTTGAATTCATTAACATGTAAGTCGTGTGTCTAAGTTCAAACAAAATTACAAGAAATTGGTCATGTGCATTAGCACAAAATTACGTCAACGATTCCATTTATGTGCATTTTCAGTGATTCCGATAACCCTACAAGTGTAAAATAATATTTATATTACAGTGTGTGTAGTTCGATTCATCAAATATTTCATGAATACTAAAAATCATGTTTATTGACAATCAGACTTATACACTTAACAAGTATATGTGTATGGACATAATGAGTGTATACCATACGCATAAAATGGTAAATTATATAATATAATATAAACATTCATGTGTTTAAAATCAAACACACCGGTACATTATAATCAGTGTGCAAATACAAATGCAAACCAATAATATATTCAGTAACGTGACAAAAAGTGATATGCATGATATCAAAATCTATCACGTTAGCCCTGTTTTATAAAGCTAATCGTTATCACGGCTTATCCATCATTTTATAAATATGATATCAATAGTCGACCAATTTTATCGACCAGTTCCATGATGGCTCCACATGTATAATGTGTCATTAAATACACTTTCATTTCAAATTGTCATTAACTTTGTATGTAATTATATAATTACTAATTATATTCACACCATAGTGACATTGCGACACACATACATATAGAGCATATCATTGATAGGTCCATATTACAAATCAACACTTGTTATAATTTTTATTTTTTATCATAACTATATGAGGACTTGTGTCGAGCATCTATTCAATTCAAATACAGTACCAAAATAAAATATGAACACATGTTGTCATCAATAGATACGTCAGAATTCAAACAAAATGCTCACATGGTTACCACAATGGTTACCAGTAGACTTTTCAAATATCATATTTCATTATTGGACGTATAGAGAGTAACAAAACAAAAGATTTCTAATACACATTCATACAGTAATAATAATTATGTGCTAATAAAGTAAATGTTGTTTCGGATGTAGTTAATATTTTTCATATAAAATACAATAAATGTAATTATTTAAAGTTTAGACCACAAGAGTATACCGAAAAAAGTTCATCATCAATCAAATATTGAACCATGAATGTTGTGGTGAATAGTTTGGCCTTATGCAAGATAAACATATTAAACAATCGAAAAGTTACTGTATCGTGTTTGTGTTTTTTTGTTTGTTTATCATGCATTAACCGTTGTCAAAATTAACTCAGTCAAATTTGTATAGAGTACCACCGAGCTGTCGCCATTTTCCAGCATAAAATCTGAGCTTGAGAATATTTCTGGTGTTGCGCATCACTTCGACCTTATCTCTGTACGAGAGGAATTTGATAAGGATGTGACGTGATTTTCCTTGATCGTTCTTTCTTCCATCTCGGTGGGCTCTTTCAACTTTGCTCTGGATTCCAAACTTGGTTTTGAGGATGTCTTCGGTGATCTGGATGCAATCCTCACGCTGGCCTTCCTGTGGTTCGGGGATTCCAATCAATCTCACGTTATTTCTACGTGAGAACCTTTCATTTTTATTTGCTGCAATGGTGTGGATTTCTACCTCCGACTTCAGATGGGTTATCTCATTCTCCATGTCGGGAATTTTCTTCTCCATGCGATCCTGATTATCTTGGAGATCGTTGATACCTTCGCGTTCGAACTCAATGGAGGTGGCCATGTTGGCTTCAACATCATGCAACTTGGACAGGAATGTATCCATCGTCGAACGGATCATCGCTTCGAAGTTCTGCGTTGCTTTTTCGAAGTACTCCGCCACATTTTCTCGTCGAAGACGAATATCTGTTTCTTCCGTCTGTTGAAGCCCTGCATCTGGGGATGGTGAGGCTGGAGTAACTACTTCTTCATGGTCAGCAGGTGAAACGACGGCTGCCTCTGGGACCTTCGGCAGGGTGCCGGTTGCGCTGGCGGGGCTCCGTGGCGGGCTCCGAGGGGTAGTATTTGACGGGCTTTTTGAAAGCCCTGCATGTTGGCGTGTACCGTGTACATGGACCTGTGCACTGTGCTTCGAAATTGCAGACCTCGAAGTCGACTTCAATTTCTGCTTTTGAGGTTACTGTCAGGCACTATTGAGAGAATTATTGATAATGAATAATGAAACTATTTTTATTTTTTATTTTTATTCCAATCATTCTCCTTATCATCATCATCATTATCATTAACCCCGTCCCCACCACTACCATCTTCATCATTATGTTTTATTTTTTGTCACTACATTTTAATTTTTTTACTTGCAGAGTCAGAGCAACGTCGACTGAAGGAAGAACGAGCTCTCCCACAGAACGTCATCCCAAATCTCCACTCCCTTCTACATATTAGAGACATGTACATCATATCCAATCATGGTATGTATTACTTATCCCAGTCTTATAAAGAGTTGCGATTGATTCAAATCAAAGACGGGGCCCGGGTCTCCTAAATAAATACTCATTCATGACTGAAATACCTTTAAGCCCAAACGACAACAACATCCTGTAAGACAATGCAACCAGTGCAACTAATTTTCTCGGAGAGGGTCTACTTTCATTTCACAATTCACACCCAAGATCTTTTCCTTTGATTATCAGATAAAAGTATCCCAAAGCGACATATAGTGATTCGATATTATACGGGTAGGTTTGTCAGGATGATGCCGAAAAAGAAAGGACAGGGTTTGGTAACCTGGATTGATACCATACAAACATCAATAAAAACACTGACAAAAATACAGGGACACCCAAAAGGAAAATATGATGAAAGAAAAAGGTGAATTAATTTTGTATACTAAAAGTTCGTACTAAAAAAGAAAATGAAATATTGGTGATCTTAGTCAACTTTGACTGATTGCCATATAATTGTGAATCCATCGATATCAACGTACAGCGTCCTCGAGATTCTAGTTTCATAATATCAGTTTCACGATCTACTTCACTTGTTTCATTTATCAAAACATATTAAAACCTGATATTAACACACTTGAAGTTAAATGAGACAAAGTTTATTCAAAGTGAGGACCGACACACTCGTGTCCAGGTCGGTTATTATCCAGAAGATCATTATTATCTGCTTCTTTTGTTTCAGTTCTCAAAACACATAAACGTGTAGTTTGACCATACATAAAGTATACTCATACAATGTATATGCAAATTAAACTGACAGTGCACTTGTACAGGACAGTTAATATCCTAATCTCAGTAACATAGAAACAATAATGATTTAAGCCTACACAATTTGTGTTGTCCTCGAAGAAATTGTATCTACACCGCCCTTCATCTTTCAAATTTAAGTCATGTCTCGGGATTATTGTTTAAATATCAATGAGAACGTAAGGTAACCGTTGAAGAATTAATAAAAATTGTGTGGTTTAAATCCCCACTGCGCTACTTGTAGCTACTTGCGCCCTGTATATATAGCAAACAATGCCTAATCGGTGACTATTGGTCCCCCATGATCCCCTTTATCTTATGTTAATTGAGAGCTGATTTGATGAGATAACCATCTGTCAGTGACCATGCTGGGAGGTCTAATCCCTCCTGGCAAAACTAGTGCAGTGGGGCTTTAAAGGTTAATGAGAAGTTATGGTTTGAAATCAATGAGACATGTAGAAAAGAAAGAGCGCTGTCCAAGGGTCAATTCAGCTCATGATACGAGTCACAAGATTCCATCATGTCCATAAATAGCCAGGAATCATCCCAACAACTTTCAGTTCCTATCTGAAAATAAAGTTAATATTTCCCTGTCAAACTACTCGTCCTAGAACTCAAGAGGAAGTGTTCCTCACAGTAATATTACTATCTCTATTTGTTTTTAAAAATTAGAACACAGAAGAAGAAAAAAGTACGTACTACTTTTTAGCAAAAATGTTGCAGATTAGAACCATCATTGGCTCCAGGCCTTGTCCAGAATTTACATCCCAACATTTAATTTGTACTAAATGGTTCTTCGCAGCTTTCCTAAATATCACGGTGCAGTCCAGAATAATCAAGAGAATCTCTACACCTGTAGAGGTGTCGTGGTATAGAGGTTCATTCACTTGATTCTTAGTTCAAGGGTTGAGGGTTCGAATCGAAGCCCGGCACTAACGTCTTTCGGAAAGACATTGATCCACATGATTACGCAGAAAACCTTGAATGCCAGTCTTGTAAGGTTTTGGGTCTCTTTTCGAAAGAGTATAATGTTCAGGAGAGAGTGAAAGGTATATATTGTGTAAAAGGAAGAATATGGCTGCTTTTATTATAGGCAAACGGGAATCAAAGAATATAACGCATTATAATCCTGTTCTATTCATCTTTTTACCTCTTCTATTCATCAGAAAGTAAACAGTGCACGTTCCTAACCAACGAAAGTTCAAGTGGTAAGAATAGAAAACGTAACCTAGTATTTTTCTGCTTCTCTGTGTGTATATCTCTACTCCTGTCTCTCTTTATCTTTATCTGTGTCTTTCAATTATTCTCTCTCTCTCTCTCTATACCTATCCGTTGTTTCATATGAATGTGTGTGTGTGTGTGATGGTGCGTGTGTGTGTGTGTGCGTGTGTGTGTGTGTGTGTTTGTGTGTGTCTGTATATATATAGCCCCCCTCTCTGTCTCTCTCTCTCTCTCTCTGTCTGTCTTTCTTTTTTACAAAGATGCGAATTATGGGCCATTATTGGTCCGAAATAATTGCATGACCTACAATGAATCGCAGAGTTACACGGGCTACAACCCAGCGAGACCAACAGCCAACAAGGCCTTCCAATAACTGTTCTAAGGGTTCCCATGACCGATATTGCTGGTCTCGTGGTCTGTCAGTCTATTGGGATGTCCCGGTTTCTAATGTCAGCAGTTGCAATCAATGTTAATCAATCACACGTTTTGATAAGAAATGATAAGATCAGTGACCTATCCCGTTTAGGATATAGCCGCCCTAAAGGCTCCTCCTGCTAAGGCCAAATTAAAAAAAAAACATGTTTAGCGTCCTGTTTTTTCGAAATATAGGAAGGAGGAGGCCCTTCTTTTTTCCTTCAAAATGGCCGCTCGGTACATTTTCCCTGACATTAGGGCCATTTTATCAAGATGGCCGCCGATATTTTTTTTTTTTTTTTAAATCAGAAATAGATCCATTTTAGCAGTGTTTTTCATGTTTTTTTATCTTTAAAAAAAAATCAAAAAAAATCAACAACAAAAATCAACAAAAATTCAAAAAAATTCAACAAAAAAAATTAAAAAAATAGATAGGAGGCAGCCCCCAAAAAGGAAGTGGGCGGGGACGCTAAACATGTTTATTTTTTTAAGTGGCCTAAGGTTCTTTTTAGTCCCGGTCTGAACTCGACTCTGACTCATTTTTGTTTTAAACTTATGGATACACTTCCAAAATATTATTTGTCTTTACACTATTTTCCAACTTAATCTACTAATTCCCTTGTCTCAATACATGCATCATGGCTACTCTATCTGAAACTGCTAAGGTTCTTTTTGCGCCCCCGTCTGAACTCGATTCTGAATCTTGTTTGTTTTTGTTTTTTAAGTTATGGACACACTTACCAAACATTACGTGTCTTTAAATCATTTTTCCTCTTAATCTATCAATTCCCTTGTCTCAGCTACCGACTACATCGCCAATATCACGGGATCCGATTTCCTAACGACAGAGAAGACAGTTTTTCAGAACCTTGCAGAGAAGGCCCGAAAATTAACGCGCCAAGCCGATGAGCAATTGAAACAGATTCCGAAGGTTCGCGGAATGGACCCCAACAAGAATTTTTACAATCGGAAGCGTGCAGCAGATCTGGGAAAGGCTGTACAAAACGAAATGGGGATAAAGCTTGGGTCTTATATGTACTTTCCTGGAGGGCACTGGGTCCCACTGAACTGCAGAGCCAAATGGAAGGTTTGTACTCTTTAAAGGATTGGTTACACCGGAAAATCTGCGTTTTAGTGAATCCAAAAAATGGCATCAAGTCAGACGAGTCGTCCAAAACGTAGCTAATGTAGACAGTGTTTAATATTATTTGTTTGATCATTTTCATTCGTAGTAGTCCTGTTAACCAGAATTTGATATAGAAAAACACCAATAATGTTTATACCTATCTTGATTGATCTGTGAAAACCCCATAATACTGAACGGACGTTACTTTGAAAATAGTATTACCATTGAGGTAGTGTGAAATATTAAGGTTCGGTTGTACGGAGGAAAAGATTGTAAACAACCTTCATAGAAGATAGAAGAATGGGTTATTTTACCAAATATTACGATGCGTCATAAGCCCTAAATGTACAGAGTATATTCCAAACATAATCTAAAGAATATTATATTGGATCTTATTATGAACCCAGTGCACCCTTTCAACTCCTTCTGTATTCTCTTCTCAAACGCATACTTATTTTTATTATGATTATCATTATTATTGTTCATGATCATTTTCGCCTTGAAACGATTTCGTATATCAAGTTCAAACCCAACTCGAAACACTAATATACATTGAGAAATAGTTTTTTATTCAGGAAAAAACTAGTACTTACACCTAATCAGACTCTTTGTTAAATCATCATGATTTTTAAAGCTGATCTTTGTTGTATTAAAAAAAATAGAAAGAATTAGAGTCTAACCATTATTCATGTGAAACTGTCTTTTCAAATTCGGATATTTTTCCTGTACTATTTAACCGTTGATCTAAATATGAAAGAGGAAGGAAGTGGTAGGAAGTGATAGAATGGCTCATATATAATAATTTCCTAAACACATTAGGAATTTTCAGTCATGACGTTCCTCATTAGTTCCTGAAAAGGGAACCACGTCTTTCTGTATATTAATTCCTTTTCTAAATGCATTAAACGTGAATTAGGAAGTGCCAACACAACCTTCTCGTTTCATGTTTCAGCCATAAAGTGCATCGGTGTCAATAACATCATACTTTGAAATGATTTTCTTTTTAATGATTTTGTTTAATCAACAGGTAGCATTGATCATTCCTTACCGGAATCGGAGTTATAACCTCAATATTCTTCTGCGGAACTTAATACCCTTCTTAAGGAGTCAAGAGTTGGAGTTTGGAATCTTTATCGCGGAACAGGTACATCTAAAGATAAATTATTCAAATGTAAAAATCATTTTCATTGGTGTCATAACTGTACATTCAAAGATAAATTATTCAAATGATAAAAAATTGTTCTCAAAAGTGCCATAACAAGATACTCAGATATCTGAATCACGTAAGCTGATTAAATGGACTTTCTTTTTTGTCTATCAGCACAATTGTTGAATCGACGTAAAAGGGGGCTGATAAGTGACGGCATCTCCTAACTATATGATTATGGCTCTAAAGATAATTGGTTGTATGCAGCAATAAAAAAATTTGTTGACTCCAGAGTCGAGTATTAAATTGTTTTTAGTTCGTTAACTTCAACATCAAAATCCGCTAATACCATCACCAAAATCTCCCGTCATGCAAACCACAATTATTAGTGTATTAACTAGGTTTGGTAAAATCTTCCTCAACATTGGATAAAAACGTTTGTTGGAAAAATTCAATTTCATATGGAGTGAAATGTACCCCCAAAGTGGAAAAAATGTACCCAATATAGGGTAAAAATGTTACCAAACTAACGCGCGTTTTTTTCTTTTTACCATCATGAATATTCAGGGTTCCACTGAAGTAATGAACCGAGGTCTAATGAAGAATATAGGCTATCAGATGGCGAAGTTGAGTGGAACGCTCTGGGACTGCTACGTGTTTCATGACGTCGACTATGTTCCCATTAATTCGACGAACTACTACGGTTGTGATGACTACCCCAAACATTATGCCACAAAGCTTGAAGAATTCAAATATGAGTAAGGATTTATAGAAATGAAGTAATATTAATTTCGAACGGATTAAGATGATGTAGTTCCATTTGTCAAATATGGAGAGAAATAATTCCGAACACCGAGAACTGCTATTTGTTTATAGGTTCAGTGTTACGTTGATTTTGTGAACCGTTATTATAAACAGTCTTTCACAAAAATTAAAGGTATTAGGTAACTTTGCCTCTGATTCTAAACAAAATCCCGGATTTAGCTCATTCTGCAATCATCAAGATATTCATGATTGAAATTCGAAATTTCAAAAACCTTTTTCCCAACGGCTTTTGTATGACACTACAGTCTATTGGGGAAAACGGGTATAGTAAAACCCGTCACTCAAAGATTTTTACTTTTTTGAAGCACTTCATGATCACTTTGGAGCGCAATTTCCTTTAGGGCATATCACAGACACTGAAACGTTGTAACACAATGCCTTTAATTTGTAGGATTAGATTATTCGCCAGTATGTTTACCCGAAAAATACACAATTCTGAAAAAGCCTCCAAAATGGATAAATAAAATTTGATATCATCATTATTGTTTTTTTCATTAAATAACAATTAAAAGAGATATTTTCAAAGTGTGATCCTTTTTCTTGAAACGCACTGTATACTGTAACCCCTCACTGTATCAGGGTAAATTCAACTGTTTTATTTTAAATTGTTTAATGATCCTCTTTTACAATACTATTGTGGTAATTACTATTATGGATCCTGCAATGCTGTAGCATCAATTTCCTATCATTTGTTCGTATTCTTTATAGCAACCCATACATGCAAGATTTTGGAGGCGTCGTGGGATTAACTGGGGTGCAAATGGATGAGATTAACGGCTACTCCAACATGTACTGGGGATGGGGCGGCGAAGATAGCGATTTTTATAGGAGGGTAAAATTCAGCAAGTTAAACATCACTACAGCAACTGATGGATATTACCGTGATCTGCCACATAAGAAGAAAACAAGGAGAGAAAAATGTGTACAAAGGTGAGCCCATTGCAGTTTGTAGAGGTGCCGTGGTATAGTGGTGTCGCTAAATTGAAGGTTGAGGGTTCGAATACCAGCTCGGCGCTACGTCCTTTGGCAAGATATTAATTCACAATGGCCTCTTTCCACGCAAGTGTAAGCGCGTACTCGATATGCCAGTGCGCTTAATGTTTGGCCAGTCGAATGTGCCCATAGAAATAATAATGTACATGGGCGCCGTAGATAAAGTCGCCATTATCGTTATTGTCATTATCATTCACAGAAGCAAAACTTGCAGACGAAAAGCATCAATCATTCAAATTTCAATAGAATTATGATCGCAAAGACTTTCAAGAAATCAAGTCTGAACACCCTAATTACCTTAAGTAATCATGTTCAGATTATGTAACACATGTTAGGATTATTTAATACTACGTCGTTGTAATGTCCGTACCTTAAATAGGGACTTTTAGATTTGCACGTCGACAGCTTTGACTGCAACGTGTGACGTGAGGCACTGCGCATGCGTTACGTCGTCTCAGTCGGCGATCGAGAATGCGTCAACCTTGATTTTCCTAAATCTAGTACATACACAAACATATTGGTATTTATATAGCGCCTTTACATGCTCAAGGTACTAGTATGCCGCGTGCGCATAAAATATACAGTTCCTCAAGTAGACAAAGGAACATCCCTTCCCTGCTATTATGTAAAAATGTGTAGAACAGGTGTCACGTGCATATTCACCTGTTCTACACATTTTTACATAATAGCAGTGAAGGGATGTTCTTTTGTTGAGGGTAGAATGAGGAACTGTATATTTTGTCCTCTTTCTTTGTCCGTGATGTTCATAGTGTTACTTAAGCCTGCATGTATATCGTCGAGTGCAATCTAAAAGATTTCTAATGGTAGTCAACATGGGCGGTTAAGTACGTTGACACGCATGATCAGTCGGCGTTCGTCGTGTTCTCGTCCACTCAATCTAAAAGTCCCTATTTGAAAGGTGACGAACTAGGCTATGGAAATTACACTCGTGTTAATTTTATACAGTCTTGCACAAATTATCACTTCTTTTGTTTATATTTTGCTTTTAACCGTACTCTAATCCTAATTCAAGTAAACATTCATTCCTGACCAATTCTATTTTTAATCATTAATCCAGCCCTAGATTTAATTCTTAATCTGATTTGTGGCTTCTTTCCACGGTTGATAATAACGATGATGATAATACTAATGATATTAATAATAGTAATGATAATGATACAGATTAAAATAGCAATATTGATAAAAACAGTAATAATGATTAGTATTATGAAAATAATATATAATAATAAAGAGATAATGATGATGATAATAATATTAATTTTAATAACAATGAATTAACTCTTATTCTTACCATACTTTTAACCCTTATCCTGACCGCAATTTTAACTCTTATCCTGACCATAATTTTAACTCTTAATCTGATCATACTTTTGTAATTTTATCCTACCAATAATTTGTCACTCTTATCCTGAACATAATTTCAGCTCTTATCCTGAACATACTTTTAACTCTTATCCTCACCATAATTTCAACTCTTATCCTCACCACACATTTTACTCTTATCCTGACCATGATTTTAACTCTTACCTTGATCATAATTGTAACTTTTATCCTGATTCCTGATCATGATTTTAACTCTTAACCTGACAACAATTTTAACTCTTATCCTGATCATAATTTTAACTCTTGTACTAATCATAGTTTTAACTCTTATCCATACCATAATTTTAACTGTTCATTTTTAATCTTGTTTCAAATTGAAGACTGAGTTATCTTACAACAGAAACGTTTCCACAATCGAGCAAATGAAAATTTATTCTTTATAATCCCATGATTATCCTGATTGTAAAAAAGTATATTGAACGAAGTCAACATTGAATAGCTGTATCTATTTTTTGGCTCTATTCACCAGATGTGTTTTTATTTTTAATGGTGAAATTCAATTTATCTTGACCATATAGATAATGCATAGATTAATAAATAAGTGAGTGAAAAATAACTCTCTCTCTCTCTCTCTTTCTCTCTCTCTCCCAATCTCTCTACAGACACTGTCTTGCTGCCCATGCAATTATCCGGATGAAAACCGATGGACTTTCACAGATCCGTTATGAAAATTCCGCCAATTTTTCTCTCTCCACATTATATACCAAAATAAGCGTTGATGTGGTCAAAACAGACTGGAATCACAAATTCAAAGAATGTCGCATTCACAATCGAAAGACAAGTGATAACTGGTTTGCTGTTATGTGCGTAATGTGCTACGCAGGCGTCATGGTTCTTATATTCGCATGTGCAATTTGTGGTCTTGTGATGCGAGATATGGATGATTGGCCGGAACAGGATGTTATATTCGAAAGAAGAAAAAAGAAGAAGGTGAAGAAGAACGTTTATCTCCATGACCAGGATTTAAAATGAAATGATAGATTACTTAGTATGCAGGTCAAGACTCTCATCGGGTTCTTAAAACGAACAAGCAACGTGCTTTGAATGAAGTCTAACCAAATGTTTCATTGGCTGTGTCCTTAAAAGATAGTCTACAGTGTGGAACCTTGGACAGACACTATGTTACCTCAACGTCGTATCTGTTTGAGTTTGTGTTTGTTCAGTCTGATGAGACGCAGATGGGCGGTTACCATTTGGAGCTCTATGCAGTCATAATCATAATGATATGGAGATGTGTTCATTTTGTAATATTCCTCGATTCGAATCATTCTAGAAATCCACAAAAATTCTACATTGAGAACAAAGCCTGAATTCCAAACTATAGCTTTCCTTTGAAGAGTATCAAAATTCTGTTCGCCCTCCCTCTCCCTCTCTCTTTTTCTTTCTCCCTCTTTCCCTCGCTTCCTTCTCTCTCTCTCTCTCTCTCTCTCCCTTTCTCTATCTATCTCTTTCTTTCTCTCTTTCTGTCTGTTATCCGCTTTCCCAATATTATAGTCTATGATCATTATGACGTCAGACCCGATGAGTCCTGACTGAGACCAATTGATGTAGATCAGGAGGAAATATATGTCGATTATTTTCATCTTGCGTCCGAAAAGAGAGTGAGGTAGGGAGATAATTAAAGAGAGGTATAGAAGGAGAGGGGGAATAAAGAACGTGTCTGAGGGAGATGACCCCAAAGTGACATGACCCCTCATTTTGCTCTTCCTCCTCCCCATGACATTAGCCTTTCCCGGCACTGAGATTGACTTACTGAATTATATGAAATATAGATATGAGTGTGTGTATGTGTGTGTGTGTGTGCGTGCGTGTGGGTATGTGTATGTGTGCGTATGCGTGTGGGCGTGTGTCGTTTTGTTTTGCGGTGGTTATGTATGCGTGTGTGCGTGTGTGTGCGTGGATATTTTTGTAATCAATCTTATTGTTGGTTTCGATGCATCTAAAATGTGTATAAAATTTCTCAGAAATCTATAGAAAATTATTTGCATGACGCCTTAAGTAGCTTAGTAAAAAGTAGTGATACTAGAAATGTTTACATGTGAGCAGACCAAATATCCAATTTGAATAACGTTGGACAAATATATATATATATATATATATATATATATATATATATATATATATATGAATAAATACATAGAAACATCACAGTCAGCTGTTAATAGTAATATTTACTTTTACTGAGAAACGAAATCATAATATGTATGGCAATGTTGATTAATTGATAGATATACATTTATGTATTTACAAATCCATGATGGAAAATTTTAGAGTCAGGCCCGTCTATAAAAGCCACCAATGGAAACAGAGAAAGCGGTACTGCAGACAGGTGGCCTTTCTAGACAGGTTCTATAGCACACATTTCTTTCTCGAGGGTTTTTTTTTAAAAGAGGCTATAGACAGATTCCACTGATAAAGAGACTTAAAAAAAACATTTCGAAACAGGAAAGCGTATCTAACTCTATCCTTTTTTCCCATCTCTCCAGAACACCGCAAAGGGACATATTTGTTATGTCTATGATATATCAATATTGTGACAG